AAAGACATGTTTTTATGGTGGACAAAGAAGTCATTAGACTTGGGGCAAGCTACAATAATATCTGAGAAACTGATGGACAGTTTTGGCACTGTCTTGTTGCACCCCACCCTCCTGTGTGCTTTCACAGGAAAGTTCACCCAGCAAGGTGATAGAATATTCTGAGTGATAGGAAACATTAGGAAAGGCTTTAAAATAAAAAATTCTATTAATATTTTTCTTCTCAGAAAATTCAAACAATGAACACATGGGATACAAGTGCTACAAGATTTCTTACTAAGATGAAGCAAAGACCTGTATGCATGATTATTTTCCCCCCTTTCAGAAACCAACTTATTTTTGCCTGTGAAGTAATACTTCTGAGGCATTCCGCTTGTTACTGGAGGCTCTTCTGCACTTCTGCTCTGTTTCTTTCTTATTTTTACACTTGGGATTTTCTTTCTTGTACATAAACATTCATTTACCTGGCAATATTGTCTTTTTTTTTTCTTATTATTTCCTTACCCTTTGACTTTTTCTACCATGCAGTACAAGAATTTCAATAAAAAAGTTTTGCACAGCAGACTGTGCATATATTCCCTCAGCCAAGCTATTTTAAGCTTTTGCAAGTACCTCTGATAAAGTAACTACATTGCACCTGTATTAAGGAAAATGGGTGAAATTCACCTCAAAGATGAGAAAATGAAATGCAGCTATCAGAAGGTTAGGTATGAGGAAAAAAATGCTCTTTATTAGAAGCAATCCATTTTAAGTATAAAATACAAGGATCTGTTAACTTTTTTATGAGGAGATAGTGACTTTGTGAGGTTTAGGTTTGAAAGCTTTTGTCTAAAATGTCTCTATTTTTCACTTAAGAAATATATTTCATGCATTATATTTTAACACTCTGTCCTTCATTGTCCTGCACCTTCAGCAGAACCTTAAATTATGTCTGAAACTGAAGAAGGACAAGGGGCAAAGGACATGAACTTTCTCATCCCTTTGTTTCAGTGTGTTATTTTAATTTGAAGCAAAGTAAGTAAAGTCAAATGTCCACATGAATAACTGTTTTGTTGCTGATCGTATTAGTGAGACCTCTAACCATTACCATTTGACCTTGCCAATTCAAAATCTAGTTTGACCCTCATTTAATGACCCTAATCTTCATGGCTTCCAAATGCAAGCACTCATTGCCAATGGCAAGGGATTGTGATATTGCAAGTTGAGAATTTAGAATCACATTTTATGATTCTCTGGGAAGATCTCAAAGTTCTGTTTGTTAAGCTTGCTAAATCTGATTCAGAATTTGTTCATTTGCTTATTTATTTTGCTGTATCTGCCCTAGAATATCTATTTTCTTGGTTTCAGTCCCACAGTCCTACTTTGAATTTAACCTTTGCTACAGAATGAGTTAAGTCAGTAAGCAGCCATCGTTAAACAGCACTCAACTACTTCTGTATTTTTCCAGACTGTGGTGCTCACAGCATGTAAGCTATTAGCATGAAGACTGTTTTCAGCTGGCAGACTTTAGAAGTGGCAAATTGTTAATTTTTTTTAATCAAAACCAGAAATCAGATCATTCAAATGCCCAGGTTTTTGTTTGTTTCAGCATACTTTTTAGTTTGAAAAAATGAGCTCTTTTGCTCATTCATTCTCAGCACTTCAAGTCTATTTATAGTTAAAATTAAAAAGTATTATTTAATTACTTCCAAAGTTAAGTTTCTTTACTATTTTATTTAAAGAGAGGTGAAGGAAGTGCCTGTGTATTCTACCTGATACATGTAGCAGCCCTACATGAGCTGGGAATATGTTTGTTAACCTGTTTGCTTAAGAAAATGTGTCTGGGCTGCACCTACTTATTCACACACCTCGCTTATGTATCTCCATCTCATCCTAAAAGTCATGTTTGATTGCTTGCCATGCCTGGGATCTGATTTTGGGGAATTTCCTGAGCCCTTCAACTTTGATTCTTTTCTGTGGTAATTTCAGGCATGGCTTAGGTGAATTGTTTCCAGAAAAGAGACGATAGAAATGAGTAATTCAGGATTCAGCTGGCAGGACATTTTCAGAAGTGCTGTGTTTTAAATAGCCTCCTTAGAAAACTGGTATGAAAATAGATGGTGATGTGTTTAATAGTCTATGCTTAACTTTTAAATATCGCATATAGCAATAGCCCTCGCCTTGAAAAATTCAATGTAAATCCTGCTTTGGAGAGGTTTTATTAACCTGCTGACTAAGAACAGGCTGCAGGTATCCAGGGTGCCTTCCTCAGGAGAGTCTGCTGTTTTCTTGCAGACCTGTGTACATGGACAGATGACCTTCCATAAACCTCATATGACTTTTCAATGATCTTCAGCTATGTCTCTGACCTTGACTTTGAATTAGTACCTATAAGCCTATCAAGAGACAAAGCTGGTGTTATTTAGGAAACCATCTGAAACTTTTGGCAACTTGGAACCTTGGATGTCCATGTGGGTGGGTGCTACAAAGCGCAGACTGTTGTAGTACGTTGCTCTGTCTTCCTTCTAACCTTTTGGTACCTAAGCTTGTATGTAAAAGCTTGGCTTCAAACTAAAGATGTGTGTTCCTAGCTCTGGCAAGTCTGTCTGGTGTTGGAGGAGGAAAAGAACCTTTGTGAAGGTGGAAGCTTGTTCTGAGCAGTATATGCAGGCAGGATGAAGAGACTTGCCTGAGTGAATGTGGCAGGGGGGCTGGATGAGGCTGGCTCAGTGCCTCCTGCGTGGCCAGAGCTGATGCAATGCTGCTAGGAACTGAGTGTAAGGAAGTAACCCATCTCATGTGGGAAAGCTGAGAAGTAACAGAAACCACGTATTTTCCTTGAATTTATTCTGCATTTAGTTAGAATTTTCATTCTGAATTGGCTTGCTCTTGCTCCTTCCCCCACCCTTCCTTTCCTTTTTTAACCCTCCCCTCCAGTTGTTTGGATATGTTTTTTTTTATTAAGAGTCAACCTACTCCTCAGGTGGATACAATTTTTTGAACCCTATGGATTCTATCCCATGTAGTTAGTGAAATAATGCCAAGAAGCATAAAAAGTATAAAAAAGCTCTACCATTCAGCTGAACAACAAATTCAAATGCAGAAGATACAGGTGCAAAATCTGAGTTCTTAACATGACAGGATGATTTATGAGGCACTGTGAGGTTATTTTTTCCTGTCTACTAAATCCATTTGCTTCTGCCTCTGTATAAGCTTGAAAGTCGTATCTGTTGCCATGCCAGAATATTATCCTCCCCCTCATCACCCATGCTCTTGGCTTGTGATTGTCAGATTGTTCAGGAGTTCATGCTTCTAGGATTCAACAAAAAAAGCATTGATGATCCGAAGAGTCCATAATCACTATCAGAGGATACACTTTCCAGCTTTTCCTATGAGAGACAGGAGTTGAAGGGCTGAACTAGGTAATGATTTACCCACGGCAAACATTATGATTAGACAGGCTGGCAATCAACTATGGCATTAAAAAGCAGCTACAGAAAAGGGCTTTTTCTTTCTTGTTCCACACACGAATTCATGTTCTTCCACACCATATGATGTATACTGAAAAGTGAAGCATAAAAGTAGTCCTAGGAATTACATACATCCTGAGATGTCAAAGCAGGAAGCTTAACCAGCCTGCAGTGTAGGGCTGTCATAGGTAATGATGATGGGAGTGTGTTAAAAATATGTCAGTGTTACATCATTTTCTACCTCTGTCTTAATTGTTTCAGATACATACCTTTAATGGCAACTGTAAATATGCATATATAGGAAGTTACACCTGCATCCTATCTTGTCCTGAGTGATTTTCCCTGGGGTAACCTCTGCCTTGCAACACCTGGAGTGATGAGTGAGGGGTCTGGGTATCCTCATATTCACTGCTCATAACCTCACACAAGGCACCATGGAAAGGTCACCATTTTTTAGAGCTGAAGATACCCCTTTCGGTTTAATTCTGCCTTGTTAATAAAAACAAGTCAAAGTACAGGTTCATTGGATGTTTAGTTTCAGGAATGAGGTAAATCAATACAGGAGGAGGGGAGGTTCCCTCAGGGGCTGGCAGTGGCTTCACTAGAGCCACAATACCAAACCGCTTCCTAGTTCAACAAAGCACAGCTGGCAATATAGTAATTATCAAATATTTTCAAAACTGTACTAATGAAACATATCTGGAATCTATTAAATAACCTAATACTCACTAGGCAAGAAATACTTACATTTCAGTGAAGTGCAACTGCTACTCATTGGTGAGAGACTTTATAATCACTTTATTAATTCACTTACATCTTTAATCTCTTTTTGCAGTGAAGCAAAATCCAAATAATCAAATCTAGTCTGTACTTCATTTTCAGTTAATTCATCCACTAGTTTGGAGCATGAAAGAAGTGCATTTTATGGATTTTTGTCCTGCTGTAAGATCCCATAACTTTAGAAATCATACAGATGTCTGCCATTTGGGGTTTTGATGTCTGCCATTTGGGGTTTTTATCTCGTTTATTTTGCAAATCCCAAAGCTTCTAACTACTCTGACACAGATGCCCTTGGCTATGGCAGGTTTCCCACACTGCAAAGTCATGCCTCGTTTTTTGTACCTAGAAACTGTGAGACAGTGTGCAGAACAACCCAGCGAAACGTCTGCCTCACATCCAGAAATACCATGGCAGCACAAGGCTCAGCTAAGCCATGCACGTAGCAGGAGCCCTGATGCCACCTGTTCTTCTCACACCCTCCATTGCCTGAACTCACTCTGATGTCTCCCAGCATCATCCAGATTGCATTTCTGCACCCCTCTGCCAGGATCCCGTTTCTCCATCAATGGGCTACTGACAGTGTTGGAAGAACTAGCAATTGATGTGTTTATGAACTTCTAAACACTGACTTGCAATGAACGCCAACACTTACTGTACTTGGTTAAAAATTGCTCCATAACACCCATCTTATCCTTTCAAACCATTCCTGGTGTTGATTCGCCTCTGAGTTTTGTCCCTTTTGTAATGACCCTCTCCTTTGTTTTCTATCCGCAGGGTGGTTTACAGACCTACTGCTTCCTAGTGTTTGCTGCCATCTGCTTTGCAGGAGCTACCTACCTGTTTTTTGTGCTGCCTGAAACAAAAAATAAGACATTTCATGAGATCAGCCAGGCATTTGCCAAAAGGAATAAAGTATCTTTAGAAATGCGAGAAATGAACCACTGCTCAGGGGAGAGGAAATCAAGCGCAGAACAGGAATCAAACTTCACATCTTCGGTGGACAATGGGGAAACCAAAAAGGGGATTGTGTAAACCCAGGATGCTCTTTTAGGGGATGAAGGAAAACCTGCTCTTTCATTCAGTATATTTATAGCAATGCACAACTTATATTTTTGTATGTGACAGCATAAACTGCTTCCTTGTTGAATATGTTTTAAGTGAGTACAGGTGAATGCGTTAGCAGGCAGGGTGATGATTGAGGAAATGGAAGGAAGGAGGAGTGGCAGCCAATTAAGTCAGGGTTTTCTTGGGCACCTGTGCAGTAGGTGCTGTGGTGGGAAGATGGGGAATATAGACTGGGAGAAGTGAAGTGGTGGTGGGGAACTGCAGGAGGCCAAGCACCCCTGTGTGCTCACGGGGAGGTGTGTGTGCAGTCACCAAGGAGGAGGAAGAGGCAGGGAAAAGGGAAGAGATGCCAATGGGAGTCTGTTGAGAATTGATGCAGGCAAACCTGAAATGGTTCTGGCTTGCATTTCTCCAAATTTCTCAGTATGTCATTCAAGATGCACATGAGAATTGATGACTTGAAAGAAGACTCGTGACACTCCCCTGACCTCCCATTCCCTTTAGACCTATTTTGACTTTCAGTTGCTTTGTCTGAACATCTCCCACCTCCCCACAAATGGCGAGCTCCAGGTCATGATGGGTTTCCTTGTCTCTCTTGAAAATCCTGATCTACTAGAATAGAGTTGCCTCTGGTTTCTGGGTTTGCTGGTAATGCATTTCTGTGGAGATTTATATAAATTTTATTTTTTAAGAATAGCTATAGAAGTCTTAATATGAAAAGAAAACTAAACCTCATGGCAAAGTCAGAAAACTCTGATGGTATGTGTAAATTATAGCATGAAAATAAACCAAATCAAACACCAAGTGTTACAAGAGTTGGGGGGGTTGGTGGCTTATTTTTGCTTTTCTTTTCAAGTTCCTTTTAAAGCAGGTCTTAGGAGGCAAAATTTACCTGAGACCCAGTAGATGTCATTGCTTAGCACTCAGATCTCTACAAAGGCATTTGGACACCTATTTCATGATTGAACACTAATTTTTATTTGGGCATTAGATTCTGAAGCTCCAGGTCTAGTTCACGTTACTAAGTTTTTTAGTTACAAAGCTTTTTAATGCTTTGTAAAACTGTCCTCAGAGTCTGCTTAATTTCATGATAGAAAGGCTCAAGCAGGCTATCAAGAGTTAGGTGATCCCTTCCCTTCCACATGGAATTTTTTTTTATGAGCATCATCTTTCCAGTTTGTAACTTTGATAATAGGTTTTCTTGATTCTTCAAGGTACCTGAATGCTGAGGGGGTAATAAGCACTTTTAAATTAAATAGTTAGCTGTTTTCTATGAAAAGTCAGCAAGCTTCAGAGCTGCTCTCAGTTGGGAGTAAGGCACAAGAAGCAAGTGCAGCATGTAGGTAGGGCCAGCTCCTTCCACAAGTTATATTTACTAATCCAGAAGTTCATACTTTGGAGCATTTGGAGAAAAAATGCATATATATTCATATATATATACACACACAATACATATATGAATATATATTCCAAATAGAGAAATATAGATTAATATGTATATTCATATACATAGACACAATGGAAAATTTCAATATTTGTCTGGGTTTTTTTTAAGAGTTCCCCAAGTGATGACCTGTTCATTGTTTTGTTCTACACTGTAAATTACACTGTAAATCAAAATTAGAGATCCTAATGTTCAGCTATTACTTCTAAATTATACATATATGGTTTTCTACTGTGATTTATTTATATGTGGCATACTTACTGCACAATGGAAGCTGATCTGATAGGGCAATTTCACTACTGGGTAATAGACAAAAAAATTGATCTGAGCCTTTATGCCAGAATTTATGCTCTTTTACTGGGATAGAGGTACAGCAGTAAGTAAGGAAATGAAAATATATATGAGCTACTGTAAAGAAACAAAGTGAATCAGAATAATACCAATAGTCACCAAATACTATGGAAAAATTGAAGAAAAATATTTTCTAATAATCACTTGTAAAATTATATATCTGGCAAATGAAGTGGCTTTAGTTGCCTATTCCATGCATTACATGAGGCTTGCTAAGTGAATGGCTAGGTAAAAAATTAGTTTGAATGCCACCCCTGCAGACAATTTCAGGAAGAAACTTCCTCTTCCGCCTGCAGGGTAAGAATAGCAAAATCAAACCCTCTCATTCAGATTGAGAATTACCTTACTCTGCAGTTAGGAACGCTAACATGATGTGATGTGAGTCAAGGTGATAAGATTGGAAACCATTATTATTAATCTTATTATTAGGAGAATTTAGTACTTAGTGCTCTTCATTAACGTACATTACAGGCATTACTTGTTGATAATATTGCCACTGGATAACTTCCATAAAGTATCATATTGGCCTGGAACAACAGTTGCATTAAACTTCTGCAACAAGATAAAATCATCTTATAGTTGCTTACGGTTGCATTAGGAGCCCAGCTTCCAATGTCTTGGTTCAAGATGGCTCAATAGAATTTCCTAGTACAGCTCAGGGGTTTGTACATCCTTAATAACAGGGGGTTGCGTTTTCCTCTTATGCAACCATTTTCCCTTCTCTTGCCCTGCCTAAGAAAGGCACATTCCAGACAGGTATTTTATGTACAGCTGAAAAAGGAGCTGCTGCACCACGGGACAGTGGTTGTACATCTCACCTGCAGTTTGCTGTAGCTCACGGTACAGGTTAAAAGCAATTCCAGTGTATGTGTGCCAGTGCTTCACTCACTGGCCAGAGAAGGTGGCTGCAATCCCCTCTGCCTTGCATTGTGGAAGCTTCTGAGGAAACCTGTGTTGGTACTGCATTGACTTTCTCATCTCTGACCCTAACAAGAGTTTTGTGATGTTCTTCAAGCTGTTCTGTAATGTTTTTTCCCATTGTTATGCTGCTGCAACTTCTCCAGCAATGAGAGGACAACATGGAAAATATCAGCAGTTTATCACGTTGTTTTTCTTGTTGAATGTATCAAATTGTCTACAGCCCGTGTGCTTGTCAGTGAGTGTTGCGTGGTGCCACGTTCTCTTTTCCTGTCTGTGACACTGCCATGAGGTACTGTGAGATGGTGTTTGTACAAGTACTGCAAGTGGGTTACATGTGTGCAACCAACTATGTCTATGAATAACGACTGCAAAATAAACCTTTGGAATTAAACTAAAATTATGTAGATTTTGTTCTGGGTAAATCTAAATCTGTATAGTTGTAGAAGTTTCATCGTATAATTCCCTGGGCTTTTGTATCTCTTAGTACAAGACTGTGCAGTCCTACGTGTGGATGACTTGAGTTGTGAATTTTATAGTTGGGTGTTTGGGAGTTGTGGAGAAAAAAATCACCCCTGAAACTGTTTATTTCTTGAGCTTTATTTACATTTAGCTTCTTAAATCATATTCTTATTCTTTCATATTGGGCTTCAGAAAAAAAATAGAGACATCAGTGAAAGGCAAATGGTACGCTGGCTAGTAATGGTAATAACTGTGTATAAGGATTGTCAAGTCTGGTGAGGCTTTTTTATGGAAAGTTGTTAGTTGAAGTAGATGACTTTGAGTTGCTAAAACTCTACTTTCTGATGAGAAATTCAGTCAAGTGACTATTTATGCTACAAAGATATGCAAAACCTGAGATCTGAAATGTGTATAAAAAATTGCATTTCATACTTCAGGTTCTGAAGCCAATTTTCACTCCACAAGGATCTGCTTTCTGGTGGGTGAAGATGTGAGTAGTTCAGCCATATGGGACAATTTTCATCTTCAGAGTAAAATGAAGAAAATAAAAAAATAGGAAAAGAAATATATATATAAAAAAGACTACTTTTTGAAATTTCCTTTCTTCCCATTGACTATTTTTATATGCTTTACCACACAGAAATCACCAAATAAACTAGCAGAGCTCCATTCACACAGCAGGAAGAACAAATCTGAGTGAAGTATCCCTAAGGAAACACCTGCAGTCTTTTCCTTTCAGCCTGACTCCTTAAAATAAAGTTGAGATACAATCTGAAAACCTAAACTGCAGACCCAAACTGTCAAGCAGTTTTGTTAATACAAGTATTTAAGCTGTTAGAAAACTCAGATTTGGGTCCATGCTTATTTCTCTCACCAAGTGACTTTACTTGGAAGTGAGCCCTGTTAAAAGTTGAATTTCATGACAAAAGCTTGGTACTTGGACTCCTAATCAAGTTATCACAGCTCAATAAGCAATCATGCACAGCCTGAGTCACTACAACCCTCTTCCTTGCAAGATAAGCTGCATTAACCTTGCTTTTTCCATGACTGAAGTGAAAAAGTCAGTGGATGGTTGAGGTCTGTCTTGAGATTTTCCTGCTAAAGCTGCTCTACAGTCAAATTCTTTTAAACCTAGGATTTCAATTTTTGAAAAGCATAAAGGAATAGCTTTCAGGAGACTATTATTCAGTGAACAGTGAAGGCAACAGAAATCTCCAGTGGCTTCAAATGTGCAAATGAGCCCAAGAAAGGCATGGTATACATAAAGGAGTTAATAAGCTCAGGAAATCCAGCACATTTTTATCTTCTTTAGACAGTAAAATGATGGTGTGCTTTCTCAAGCTGGGAAAACAATATTATAATTGAAAAATTATTCAGATGCTGCAAAAACACTGATCTGATGCTTTGCTTCTGAGTTCGGAGACCAGCAGTCAGTTGGTTGGCTGGTGATTTGTCAAGGTTTTTTTATTTAAGTGGGAGCACTAGTAATCTGGTTTGTATATCAAAGAAGAGTACTAAGCGTGAGGATGCTGGAGTTGCTGGTTGTCTTAAGATAATTCCTGAGAGGTAAAAAGCAAAATATAACTCTGTCAGAACCCTGAAACACGATACATTAAAAGCATGATCTTGTAAGGGTGGGAGATAATTTGTCAGCTGCTGTGTAAGCTGCCATGCAGAGACATTGATTTTGTTTCATTTTCTTTTGTTTCTCTCTGTTAAAAAAAAACAGTCAAGCTAAATGCAATGCTCACCTCTTCACATTTGTTCCACCTTTTGTTTCTGACTTGTTCTACCCAATTATATAAATATTTTTACAGTTAGGTTTCAAAACAGGAAAGCAATCGTTACTTGGGCAAAGGAATTACAAAAAAATTACAAAAATGATAACCACAATTTTCTCTAGAGGCTGACTTTTCAAAGGTGTGTTCAAGACTTAATCACTTAAATCCAAATTTCACATGCTTTCACCCTTTTGAATTAAACTCTCCAGGCTATATATATGCATACATATAGAGAGACTTCTAACAGCTATGGGGGACATTACTGTGGGGATCTGTTACAGACCACCTGATCAAGAGGACTCTGTGGATGAAGCACTCCATAGACAGATAGGAAAAGCCTCACGCTCACAGGCTCTTGTTCTCATGGGGGACTTCAACCACCCTGACATCTGTTGGAAGGACGGTACAGCCCGACACAAGCAATCCAGGAGGATCCTCAATTGTGTGGAAGACAACTTCCTTCTGCAAGTAATAGAGGAGGCGACAAGGAGAGGTGCCATGCTTGACCTCGTGCTCACCAACAGGGAAGGGCTCGTTGGAAATGTGGTGCTCCAGGGCAGCCTTGGATGCAGCGATCACAAGATTGTCGAATTTGAGATCCTCAGGACAGTGAGACGAGCGTGCAGCAAGCTCACTGCCCTGGACTTCAAAAGAGCAGAGTTTGGCCTTTTCAGGAACCTGCTTAGTAAGGTTCCATGGGATACAGCCCTAGAGGGCAGGTGGGCCCAAGACTCTTGGTTGATATTCAAGGATCACCTGCTGCAAGCTCAGGAGTGTTGCATCCCAAGCAGAAGGAAGTGCAGCAGGAGGGCCAGGAGACCTCCTTGCATGGATAAAGAGCTCCTGAGGAAAATTCAAAGGAAAAAGGGGGTTTACAAAATGTGGAAGCAAGGACAGGCGGCCTGGGAAGAGTACAGGGATGTTGTCCAGGAAGCTAGGGACCAGGTTAGGAAAGCTAAGGCCCAGTTAGAATTAAACTTGACTAGGGATGTGAAAGATAATGGGAAGGTATTCTATAGGTACACTGCAAATAAAAGACAGATTAGGGACAACGTGGGCCCTCTCCAGAAGCTATCAGGAGAACAGGCTACCCTAGTTTTGGGGAAGGCTGAGGTTCTGAATGACTTCTTTGCCTCAGTCTTCACTGGCAAAGGTTCTGACCACACCACCCAAGTCTTGGAAGGCAGACGCAGGGACTGTGAGAATGAAGACCTTGGGCTCACTGTAGAAGGGGATCTGATTCAAGACCATCTTAAAAATCTGAATGTGCACAAGTCCATGGGTCCTGATGAGATCCATCCACGGGTCCTGAAGGAGCTGGCGAATGAAGTTGTTAAGCTACTGTCCATCATATTCAAAAGAGCATGGCAGTCAGGTGAAGTTCCCAACAACTGGAAAAAGGGAAATATAACCCCCATTTTCAAGAAGGGGAAAATGGATGACCCAGGGAATTACAGACCAGTCAGTCTCACCTCTGTGCCTGGCAAAATCTTGGAGCAGATTCTCCTGGAAGGCATGCTAAGGCACATGAAAAACAACAAGGTGGTTGGTGACAGCCAGCATGGCTTCACTAAGGGGAAATCCTGCCTGACCAATTTGGTGGCCTTCTATGATGGGGCTACAGAACTGATGGACAGGGGTAGAGCAGTTGATGTCATCTACCTGGACTTGTGTAAAGCGTTCAACACTGTCCCACATGACATCCTTGTCTCTAAATTGGAGCGACATCAATTTGATGGATGGACCACTCGGTGGATAAAGAACTGGCTGGATGGCTGCACACAAAGAGTTGTGGTCAATGGCTCAATGTCTGGCTGGAGACCAGTAACGAGTGGTGTCCCTCAGGGATTGGTGTTGGGACCGGTCTTGTTTAACATCTTTGTCAGTGACATGGACAGTGGGATTGAGTGTGCCCTCAGCAAGTTTACTGATGACACCAAGCTGTGTGGTTCGGTTGATACCCTGGAGGGAAGGAATGCCATCCAGAGGGACCTTGACACACTTG